CAGTGGGTGTATTCTGTCCCTGTATCATGCCCCTCGTGTCCCCTCTGCCCTCTTGAGGAGTTCTTGCTTCTAGTTTCCCAGTGTTCTAGGGGCTCTGGGTCCATCTCAGGCAAACTGAGGGAAAATAAAGGAGACTCTTTTCCCTGCCTGCACCATTCACAGTCCTTCCTGAAGTCACTCTTGAGAGGGGCTCAGGGCAACAGGAGGGCAAACATCCCGCTATTGCCTTTTGCCTTTGGGAGGGCTGGGAATTGGCAAGCGGAATCATAGCAACTTCTAGGAAGCATCAGTGAGCACCGAGCGAACACCAACCCAGGAATCAGGCTTGGTCCCGCTGCAGTGTGAACGAGATTTATGACAGGTAAACATCTTGCTGGAGCTCAAAACTGGACTGGAGGGCAGTGGATGTCCTACCCTGCTCCAATCTTTCATGGGTGACGTGAGTCAGGACCCCCACTCCCCCCAAGGCATCACTCTCAGGATGGGACTTTGTTCAACTTCCACTGTTGGCACTTAACAGAAAAAGCCCTTGAAGCCTACCGAGTTGCAAATAGCTGTTGGAAGGAAATTATTGCTATTACCAATTCGAAGTTGCAGGGTCTGATTGACCCATCCTTCTAGAAAGCACTTTCTTAAGCAGGGCCAGATTCTATCCACCTCATCTTCCACCCCTAAACTCCCAATGAAAAATCCTCTTTCCCTGTGGCCTTCAGCTCCACAACTCACCTAAACCACTTCAGTGGACTTGGCTTGTCGGGTTTGTACACAGTATTCTTAAGTCCAGAGGAAAATAAAACATCATGGCTTTTCCACGCCCAAGTAATCAATTTACTTGCAGATCCCTTTTTAGAAAGTATTGGCATTTCAAAGTCCTTCTTGGGGGTGGGGATTTTGGACCACACCCTGGGTGATAAGGGTTTATTTAATCTTAGCTCTGCACTAGGCTCAACTGAATGCAAGAAAAATGCTCGACCCGCTGTATGGTATCTCTGGCCCCTAAAAACACATTTGTAAAGGGGCATACATGGCTAAATAGTATTTCGTTAGCCATCAACTTAATATCTGAACTGGCTGCTGCTTGCTTTTTTCTTGATACCTTGCATGTAACAGGTGTGTCTGCAGTCAAATCATGGATTTCCCCCTGCAGATTAACTCCCTTGTGGTAGAGCTGACTCATCCCCGAATAAGAGAGAGTCACATGAAGTTTTCTTGAAGTCTAAAAGTGACTTTTGGTGTATGAGGCATCATAATTGAGAGCCTCCTGCTTTGGAAGCCTATGCACATGAGTTCAAATCCCTGGTGTCCCACATGCACTGAGCACAATCTCGGCAGTTTTCCTCTTTGAACCTGGCAAAGCCCCTTACTTTCTGGGATGCTTCCAGCACTGGAAGTGATTTCCACCTGCATTACAGTCAGGTGTGTGTGTGAGCACCGCAGCAACGGGGCTGCAATTCCACTTCCCCACACAACACCAGAGCAGCAATCAGAAAGATATGCAGGCAATATGGCCAGGAAACATGGTCCCTGACAAACATATGTGGGAGAGCTGCACTGATCCTCAGTGAGCACTACCACTATAACTCTTGTTCCCACCCTCCCACACACACACACACACTGAGTGTGTTCACAGAGCAGTATGTGGGCCAGCACAACTGAGTGCAAAGCTCAGTGAACACTGTGGCTGAGCATGTGAACACCACTAACTGATTTGTGACTGCCACCAAGCATCACAACCAGGTGTGTGTGTGTGTGTTTGGTGACCCTTTCTCACCAAAACAAACCCCCAACATCACCATCAACAGCAATAAAGGGATAGGAAAAGATTTAACTTAAAAAAATTGGAGCTTTGTAAATCTAGTGTGACTTGCAGTTTTAAACGGAAGTAGCCTTTCCTAAGACACTGGATAGAGGTGGCATGGAGAGTTTTTTGGTGAGGAAAGAAACTGTGCAGAAGTATGGCAGGGTCTAAAGTATCCTAGATAGCATCTCAGGTCTTCACCTTGAAAAACAATGAGACCTAGTGTTTTGTACTCAGGAAATCAGTCATCTTGGTTCCTGCCCATTGATTGTGAAGTGAAGGTGCACACACACACAGGCACACCTGTGCATGAGGATTTGAACATTTCAAATGATCTCAGCTACACTGGTTTGGAAAGAGATGAACTAAGTTTTCAGTGAGGAGGATATGAAAACATGAGAAATTTAAATCATTTGTATATTCTTCTGCACGGCAACCGTCCTGTATGTGTAAAAGTAAAAATAGCTGCTAGAGTTACTAGAATGTCTTTTGAGTAAAGACTTAGGCTGTTAAAACATTGGCAAGCATCTGGCTTCAAGAGGGTGGGTGGTGAACAGAGATTCTGTGACTACTACAAGGAGACTTACAACTCCTCCTCCCTTTCTAAAAGCCCTCATTTTAGTACATTTGCCATTTCAGTTCTTAATGAGAACAGGGGGCTGGAGCGATAGCACAGCGGTAGGGCCTTTGCCTTACAAGCAGCCAACATGGCCGACCCGAGTTCAATTCCTCCACCCCTGTCGGAGAGCCTGGCAAGCTACTGAGAGTATCTCGCCCGCATGGCAGAGCCTGGCAAGCTACCCGTGACGTATTTGATATGCCAAACACAGTAACAACAAGTCTCATGATGAAGACGTTACTGGGCCCGCTCGAGCAAATTGATGAACAACGGGAGGCCCGTGACTGTGACCAATGAGAAGAGAATAATGGTAAGGCCACAAGGAAACAGTATGAGCTCAAGAAGCATAGGTGCTGGGAATTAAAAAATACTGTGTTTTTTTTTAACAGAAATTATAGTAATACAAAACACACTTGGGTTCCACACAACACAATGCTCTACACCCCTCCAGCTCAAAGAAGTTAAAAATTATAAAGGAGGATTGTTAGTTCTAATGAATCTAATCCCTGAAAGTTGAAAACCTAAATGAATAAAAATGCACAAGAACACAAATAGTGTAATTAGAGAGCATTAGACATATGGATGCTAAGTAAAATGAAAGCATAGTTACAATGAGTGAGCCCTAAAAGGATTGCTCAGAAAGAGGTAGATGGAGAATGTCAACCTTAGGAGGAGTTAGTTGTGAAGGAGAGGAATGGTGTGTGGATGAGTTAAGGAAGGAGCATGATGGATAGAGGAACATACTCTGGTAGGGTACTTAAGGAAGGGTTGGGGATATGTGTATAGGAACATATGTTGTATTATGTTGGCTATAAGATTTAGTTGAACAAATAATGGTAAAAGAAAAACAAGATAAAAGAGAGGGAATATAAAACACATTCTTAGTGTAATGGTTTGCCATCACTCTTCAGGACCATTCTCCACAGTATCTGTGTCAATCCCCACTGCCTACTACTTGAGAAAATTGCAGGAAACCTGAAGAATACTGGCCAGATAAAGAACTAATCTCAGAAAATTACAGTGGTAGTTAAACTAGGGAACTCTCCCCTGATCCTGGCTTAAACTGTTACCTGATTGACAACCACATGTCTTTAAAGCTTTTGACTTCTGATGGCAAAAATGCAGACCTCCGTTGAGAAAGTATTTTAGAATAAGGTAAAGGTAAAGGTAAAGGCCCTCCCGTTGACCATCGATTTGCTCGAGCGGGCCCAGTAATATCTCCATTGGAGACTTTGTTGTTACTGTGTTTGGCATATCGAATACGTCACAGGGAGCTTGCCAGGCTCTGCTGTGCGGGCGAGATACTCTCGGTAGCTTGCCCGGCTCTCCGAGAGGGGTGGAGGAATCGAACTCGGGTCGGCCATGTTGGGTGCGTGCAAGGCAAACACCCTACCGCTGTGCTATCGCTCCAGCCCTCATTAAATAAAACCCTCATTAAATGAAACCCTCATTAAATAAAATCCTCATTAAATTACTGCAAAATCCTAAGATCATTGACACTAAGGCATTTTATGTCAAACTAAACTATTGTCAGTACTGTCCAACAGAACTTTCCGTAGTGACCGAAGTGCTCGTATAATTATGCTGTCTAGTACAATAACCACATATGGATACTAAGCATTTGAAATGTTCTGACTTAAGAAATGAATTTTTAATTTTATTTTAGTGGGATTTAATTCAAATGTCAGTACCCACATATGGCTAGTACTTACTTGAGCCTTTTTTGCTTGAATGAGCAGCCTGATTTCCTTGTGTCAGGGACCTAATTTACTCTGGTGAAGTGACACAGGCTTTAGCTACAGACTCAGTTACAGCCCAACTTTTGCTACCAATTGAACTCTTGGTTGTTATATCAACAAGGCACATAGTTTCCAACAAGGCACAACAAGGTACATGGTTTACCTACAGATTATGCCTGGAAAAATGTGGGTCTAGGTACCATGAGTCCACAATTTGGTGTTTGGAAGCAAATTCAAGTTTGATTCCTTTGGTCCAAGGGGTTTCAAATGGTAGTGCGTGTCAGAATCACTTGAAAGGCATGATATGGCATAGATTGCCCCTGCTTCCTCACATAGGAGCTTCCCATCCAAACGTCCTAAGGTACAGCATTAATATTTGCATAACAAATTCCTCCCTGATCCTGATGCTGCCACACCACTATCTCATATCCTGTTTCCTCTTACCCAGTTTGGGCTTTAAACCTTAATAATACTTTAAAAGAAATTGAATTTACACTGGAACTTGAGACTTAATTTTCACAGTTCTCCCAAGACCTGACACTGTAATAATACCTTGAGCCCCCAAATCTTTGACCCACTTCCAGACAAGCATCAGTGATTCTTGGAATCCTGCTCTATTTCCCTCATGTCAGACTCTCCTTGTCTTTGTGTAATAGCTACCCTTGAATTTCTCTCTCATCAACTGCTCGTCCACAGAAGCTTTGCCATATTTCTTACTGCTCTAACCTGCCTAAACACTTCTCTCATCCAGTTAGGTTGATCCAGTGTTCTAGCCTCAGCCTCCCATCTGGCTTGCTCCTTGTCCACTAACATCTAGTTTTGACATATCATCAATATAGAGTACCTGCCAAGGAAATTGACCTGGTATGGCGCTTTCTCCACCAACAACTCTAGTGAAGTCTTTAAATGAGTGGTTGCTTAAAGTGATGTTATCTGAAGTTTCTTCAGCTTCAGTAGAATTTTCAAATTCTATAATGGAAAAAACATCTTCAGCCCGGGTAAGCTTCATAGGAATTTGGGGAACAGAAACTCTTCCACATGGAAATGGCACTAGAAAAAATAATTTAGGAAAAAATTAGTATTCTACTATGCTCCTTGGCAAACAGAGCTTATATTACAAAAATCGAGAATGAGGTTCAATCTTGTCACTGCTGAGAAGCAGGCCCATCAATATTTTAAAAATCTAATCAATGACTATAGCCTCAAACTAAAAGGTTAATTGCATTATTTTTATGGAATGTTTTCAAACCTTCATGAAGAGAACATTTGGCTCTGGAATCCATCATCTTTACAGAAATAGAATAGGTGTTCCAGAAATTAAATTTGATAAGACTTTTATAAAGTTGAATGAATGACTTTATTTCATTTTTTAAACTAAGCAATCCTACTTCCTAGCACTGTCCCTGAATGCCAGTGTAATGATTGGTGTCATGTAACTTTAACTTTAAGTGAGAGACTTTTGTTTGTTGTTAAAAGGATTTATTTGGTAGCCTAGGATGCCTTCTATATTCCAAGGTGGACTTTAGGTATCTCTCTGGGAAATCACTGTGATTTAATTTTCTAAATATCAAGTATTAACCAAATGAATTATTAATAGGGTTATCACAGTCACAGACAACTGGGAACCCAATATTGCCTTGGGTGGTTTTATTTTCTAAAGAAATCATCTGCTGATACATTGGGAGCAACCAGAATGGAAATTTATAGTCAAGCAAAGAGACCTCACATTTCATTTTTATTTCTCACGTTCATTCTTGAAACATTCCTTATAACAGACATCTCTATAGCAACCAGCTGCAGAAAAGTATCATGAAGACAGCATGTGGTTGGGAAAACAGGAAATTAGTTCAGAATACTTATGTATAAATATAAATCACCAACAATGGCTACAGAGAAGGGACCATTACTATTGAATGGGAGAAAATCTTATTTTAGTTTGGCCTACTTTGGCTAAAGCTAAGGCTATGTTCAAATGCTTGATAGTTGGAGGTGGTTCTTTTATACTTTTTTACCTCTCAGAACATATAAGGGGCTATCTATCTATCTATCTATCTATCTATCTATCTATCTATCTATCTATCTATCTATCTATCATCTATCTATCATCTTCCCAAGATAGGCTAGCTTTGAAGTCTGTCTATAAAGAACAAGCTAGGACAGGCAGAAAGGCTCTTGAAGCACTAAAGACTCTTCACTGCAGCTGTAGAATGTGTATAGTCTTGGCTTTTGCTCCTTTTAAAAAAATTTCCTCTGCCAGATACATTGGTGAGATGGGTATTGAATCCAGTTACAGAGGAATAGCACATGATTTAATATACTCATTTAGTAAGTGGCTTTTGGGAATGCAAAAAAATTGTATTTAGTTTGTTTCAAAAAGACCCCTCATTTATCAAATATAATTGATTCTGCAAAGGCAGAAAATAAAATATAAGGTTCTACTGCTTTCATTTTCAGAGAACAAATGAGGGTGGAGTTGAAGTGATCTGGATAGTACCAGTACATCGTGGACAAGGCACCATAGTTTCCATGACTGGAAAACATTGCTTAGTTCACTGTGGTGTAGTAGGGATCTGTTAATCAGCCCACATAACTTAGACAGATGCATGTAAGAACCATTCTAACCCCAAGTATGCGAATTCAGTCAAAACCCAAGGAGAGAAAATAATTTTCTCAGGGTAAACCAGCCACACTCTGAAACTATAAGGCTTAAAATTCACCATCTTATACTTAAAGCCAGTTATTCATTCATGTATATTTTGTGGTTTAGTATCCTTATATTAATTTTACTTGGCAAGTAACAAATATGTACAGACTAGGGATAAATTAGGTAGTGGCAATTTAACTGCTTAGGTTGGGTGTGGGAGCTGAAAACTTTGCCAAGGAGGAAAATGTATTGCCTTAATAATACTTTCCCAAAATTAAAAAAAGCCCTATGTAAATCTAACAAATCAATTTCTTATAATAGAAAGGTCGGACAAAAAATTGAAAGTAGAAAAAAATTTAGACTAGACGATTACAGAATTTTTACTTAAATTGATGATACAATTTAGAAAAGTAATTTGTTTACTCTGCTAATCTTTTCTATGATTTCAAAAGGAGAAGATTGTAGGGATGAAAATTATGTAGCCATAGATTCCGGGTTGTAGTGGTGGTGATGGGAGGAAAAATGGGATTATCGTGGTTGTTCAGCTGGTGAAAGGATGGGTGTTGGAACATTGTATGACTGAAATTCAGTCATGAGCAACTTTGGAACTGTATATTTCAAGGGGATTCAATACAAATATAGCACTGTAGCACCGTAGCACTGTCCTCCTGTTCATCAATTTGCTCAAGCAGGCACCAGTAATATCTCCTTTGTGAGACTTGTTACTGAATACGCCACGGGAAGCTTGCCAGGCTCTGCTATGTAGGCAGAATACTCTTGGTAGCTTGCTGGGCTCTCCAAGAGGGATGGAAGGAATTGAACCCAGGTCAGCCCCCATGCAAGGCAAACACCCTACCCACTGTGCTATTGCTCCAGCCCCAATACAAATATAAAATAAAAATTATGTAGTTTAATAAAATATCTTAAAGTTCAAATATACATTTGAAGACTATCATTGAGCTCTAAAATAATGCAGTTAAATTTTGACCTGCTGGTTCACAGGACTTTTGGTCTTCTGCAAGTTGGTATCCTGTAGTGCAGGAGCAAACCACCTTTCTATCGGTGCCCTTTTTACAAAACTGCTTGCATTTTCCGTTCTTAATGCTGCATGTTTCATCTGAAATCAAACAAAGAACACAAACAGAATGATTTAATGTGCATCTCTGAAAAGTACAACAAACTACTGACTCAGTGATAGGTAAAACATGAGCTTGGAGTCATCATGGAGAGAAGCTTGGGAGCCTTGAGCTAAGAGTAGAATGAAAGGTAAAATAAAAGGCAAGAAATATTTTAGATTTGGCATAAAACTGAAGGTTTGAATAACCAACCTTCACTGAATCATAGATTGTTATTAAAATTTTTATCAAAGCATAAAATACTTTAAAAATACCAAAATTCTAGTATGAATTTTCACAGTGAATGCACCTTTATAAACACTAAACAGATCAACATGTATGATATTATCAACATTATAATATTCAATTCTTTTGATCACTTCTTTTTTATTAGTGAATCACCATGGGGTACAGTTACAAACTACAAACTTCCATGTTTGCATTACAGTCATACAATGATTGTTTACCCATCCCTCCACCAGTGCCCATTCTCCCCCATCAATGTTCCCAAACTTTGATTACTTCTAATTACTATATCCATCCTCCTATTGTGACTTCTAACAGTGACACAGTTCTTCTGGTTTATGAACTTTATGTAAACCGAAGCTCACAATATGCACTCTTGTGGTTTTTTTCATTTATAGCATTATTTCTTTGAGCTTCATTCATGTTGTTTTGCATAGCAGTAATATTTATATGCCATATAGTTTTTCATTCTATTACTTAAGTCCATTCCACTAATATCAGTGTTGATGTTTTATTCATTTTACCGTTGATGAATATTTGATTTGACTTTTTGGCTTCTTATGTTCAATGCAGTGATGAACAAGCCTGTACATATCTTTTGACAACATATGCATGCATATTTACTGGATGTATACCTGTGACTGTAGTTATTGGATCATATGTTAAGGTTTAGTAACTACTGCCAAGTGTTTTTATAAGACAACTGTACAGATTTACATTCCCACCATTAAGTGTATGTGAATTCTAGTTATTGGATATTTGTATTGCAGATAAATTTTTCCTCCTCTTTGAATTCTTTTGACCTTAAGTAGCATAAATTGCTGGGTGGAAGTTCATAATTCTAATATAATCCAGTTTACCCAAGCAAGCAAATTTGAAGCTGGGCAAGGCGGGCATATATCAGCGCAAAAGATTTAAGTAGGGCCCTAAAGGTAGCTAAATGCTAAAGATATTACACATTGACAGTGATAAGCATTCCAGTGGCCCCATTTTTCTTCACTATGTCAGAGTAGAGAAAAATGTGAGAGTATCTTTTTTTTTACTCAGCCTCCCTTACTGTTATATCTTTCTTTGTCTCTTGTAATATTTTCTTTGACCTTTGCATTCCATTGTGTTCAATATTAAGGTACTTTGTTGGCTCCTTTTTGTTAGCTTAACGAAAAGCATTTGCATTCCTTAATTTTAGGAGAGAGGTAAAATTCCCTTTTAAAGTTTTAGTTTAGTTACCACTATCTCTTTATTCAGCAGCGTACAATTAGACTGTGAACAGCAGACTGAAAATTGTCGGTAACCCCAATTTACTTTGACTCCTGATAATTTGATGTATTCCTGTCATTTTGTGCTCTGCGTTCTAATGACTGTGCTTCCCCATTGTTTCTCCTGTGCAATCTCAATCACAGGAAGGTTCATAGTTCAGGACTTGCTAGCTGTGATTTGACATCGAGGCACTGAATGTCCTGTGATCTTTCTGTGTGGTCCATTGTGTACCATATAGAAAAGCAGGCCAGTGAACACCTCATGGGTTGAACTTTTGACTACTGGGGACCAAATTCTAATGGGCATATTATTTCATTTTTTGTCCCCACCAGGTAGACTACCCTGAGGCTTCTGGGGAAAGAGTTGGGGGAAAAAGGAGCAGTGATGAACACTCATGCACCCTCTCATTGGCTGCTTTCCTCCCTGACTCCCTCATCCAAACTCTTCCCTCCTAGAATTGACCCCAAAAGAAATAAGATTCTTATTTTTTTTCCTGAAGAAACCCAGGCTGACAGAGTAACTGTATGATTTGTGATATACTGTGGCTTTTGGTAAGCATTGGATCTAAATCTTTGAATTCTATGTTATGTAGGCCAGCTGAGACTGATGGAAACATCAATTCATGTTTCTTAACTGGATTTTCTATAACTATGAGGAGGAGGCAAATTTGCTGTTGCCAAGTGGACACAGAAGCCAGCCGCTTTTTCTTTGCTACTAATAATCCACTAAGTGTCTGACCCAAAAATATGCCACTTGGTTCTTTTGATAGATTTATTTCTTAGCAACCTTTCTCCTCATAAGTGGTAACAACAACCCCAGATTCTCGTCATGTTACTCACTCTCATTTTGTTGTTATGGAGTCACAGTAGGGTATTCAGACAAATTAAATATGGCTTGTTGAAAGTGTTCTGGCAAGGTGAGATGGAGTTTGGTGATAGGTACAGCTTAATCTGGCCCAGACCATGCTCACCCGCACGGCAGAGCCTGGCAAGCCACCCGTGATGTATTCGATATGCCAAACACAGTAACAACAAAATCTCCAATGGAGACGTTACTGCACAAGGGTAAACAACAGTTAAAGAAGCCCTGTGGCTTTCTCAATTCTGATCCTATGTCCATGACTTAGTAACCATGCCTCAACTTCATTTTCCTCATTTGGCATTTGCTTTTTGTGGTCTAGTATGTTGTTGGTGCTGCAAGTCTCTGATCTGGTTTGTATATGCCTTGGGAGATATTGCTCCCCAAAGCAGTAGTCTTTTCTCATCAGATCAGGGTGCGAAAACTCTAGACACAGGATAAATACCACAAGGAATTCCAGCTGAGAGATCTGCGAGATCTCTTGTTTAGGTTCTAAGAACTGTCCACCTGAGACATCTACCTGTGTCATTTATGGATCAAAGCACCTAGATAGCAAGCACCATGTACCCTCTCGGTGTCCCCTATATACAACTAGCTCAGTGCCTAGAATATTTGGTGCAGAGCTCCTGAAAGCAATTGGTTGCTTCCCTCTACATTAGCACAAACATCTCTTTCTCATTCTTCTCCACCTGCAAAATTTATCACATTCCGCTTTATTTACTCTGCTTTCATTTTCCCTGATCTTGTCACTGATGTGAAAACCCAAGCACGGACAAAAATGTTCTGTTTAACAAGTTTACCACAGAGCATGCTGTTATTCAATAAAACTCAAGATGATTTCTTTCCTCCACTCCACAGAAATACACAAGAAATAATCCTGCGATGTATTAGCAAGTGAAACAAAAAGTGTTTATATGCTTGTGATTTATTTTTTTCCTTTAAGCCTCTGGGGACATGCCATATCCATTGTAGTCATCAGAAAGAATGGGGATGACAAGTTATTAACAGACCCTGGAACTCTCTGTAAAGGACTCAGGTGTGATTTGTAGCTGACGACATGCAGTGGTCTGTATTTCAGCTGAAGGATCATAGCATTTTTAAAATTAACTGTTGTTCTACAATTTAGACTATGTGCCCCGAATGCTTGCCTCTCTACTGGAGATAAGCCTGCTGATCAGGAGAAAGGTAAACAAGAGACAACAGGTTCCTAACAGTGGAAGTGTCCTTTTCCTTTCTGAGCTGAATGAGGATGGTGGCTTGGAGCCCAGATACTCCACTGCCTGTTTTATCTCCTGGCTTTTGAGGTCCATCTGTAGTTGGGTTTGCAGTAACAAGCTAACATGAGAGTTTGCAGATGCTTTTAGAAAATTCCTATATTAAGTCTGAAAAGAGATGAAGGATTTTTCTAAACCTTGAACGATGGGGGATCAATACTCCCGAGAGGCCAGGTGTCATGGTGGGTATAGAGTTTTAACCACATCAAGAGTATATCCGAATCCCAGTGTATTAGGGTGGTGCCAGTTGTTGGCACTTTTGCTAGGTGTTGTGCATTCCATAGTACCACAAACACAGCAAAACCTCTTCTAGAAGTGTGGTGCATCGATTTACATTCTGCAGGGTTACACCCTCCTTTAACATGTCTCTAGTTTTGAAGTAAAGACATTTAAGAATGTTTCCTGCTACACGTCATTTTCTATTATGCTTTACCACAAAGTGCCCTTCATTCTTCCTTAAGACTAATTGAAGTATTTGTTATCTCCACTCCAGTAGTTACTTAAACTGATAATAAGTAAATACTTCAGAGATTTCTACAGGTTTCCATAACAGCAAGATCAAATTTGTGTAGGTAAATCTGAATTTGAAATTATAACCTTTCAGATGAAAGTAGTACTTCAGAGAGCTGGAACCAGTCAACACACCCACAGGGAAGGCAATCCAGCTGCTAGCTTTTGTGCCACATGTGTTTACCTGAAGGAATGGGAGTCAAAGCAAGGCATCAAACTCTACACATTTTTCTCTTTCCTTTGAAATGGTTTTCCCTGCTACATTTTCGTTGTCTTTAATGCTATTTTGTCTTTCAGATCTCAGAGCAACACAGTCAATAAACCCACCTGAGTCCTGAAAGCATTTTTAAACATTACAGGTGACTCAACCCCAACCCCCACCCTCACACACCAATAGGTTAACTGCAGCTCTTACGTTTCACTTGTTTTATGCTATGTACGTGGCAGGGGGATTACTGTAATGCCTTGACGAAGTGCTCCTAATTTTCTGCTCTACCATTAGTCATTAGTCATCTAGCCTATGGTGTTAAATTCCTTCCCTGCGATTGCATCTTTATTCTTTTGGAGTTTCAGAATAAAAAAAGAATTTGTATTAGCACAATCTCCATGGTCACAAAATCATTTACTTTTCATGATGATGGTCCTAGTAAGCTTGCATCTTGAGGTAATAAACTGTAGGGTAAGGACTTTAGGATTTTTGTTACAATAGCCTCAACCTTTAAAAACATTACGGGCTAGGAGAAGTAGAAGATGCAGTGATCTTAGATTTGCTATCTAACTTTTTAATGTAGGCAGTTGTTCACAGTTAGGATGGGCTCTGATTTTTTGTCAGCAAATTAAACATGATATGACTTGTGTGCAGAGGAGTGCCTCTAATATGGGAATAACTTTGCCATACCCTAGCTCTGCACTTAACTGGCTTCCACAGTGGGCTTAATTTTCTCTGCATTTTGTAGGTAGTGACTAGAAGCCTGGATTTTGATCAGCAAAACAAAAGTTCAGACAGCTAGAGAGATAGTACAGCAGGTAAGGCGCTTGCTTTATATGTGGCTGATGAGGTTTGATCCTTGGCATCCCATATGGTACCCTGAGCTCCACCAGGACTGATTCGGGAGCACAGAGCCAGGAGTAATCCCTGAGCACATCTGGGTGTGCCCTCCAAGCAAAAACAAACAAAAAACAAAAGTCCAAAATCCTGGACCAGCCATTGACTACCTCTGTGATTTTCACTTATGTAAACTATAGTTTTAAAATCTGCAGAAAAATATTACGATAATGGTCACGATCACGATCACAACCATCCTGTTTTTTGTCGATCGCCTTGAGCAGACCCCAGTAACGTCTCCTTTGTCCTAGCCCTGAGATTTTTTAAAAAGTGCCATATTCAAGGCTCTTTCAGGGTTAGGAAAATGAGATCCATCATTGTTACTGGTATTTGGCATATTGGGTACGCCACGGGGAGTTTGCCAGACTCTGCCATGTGGGCAGGTTACATTCAGTAGCCTGCCAGTTTGTCCAAAGTAAAAATGAGATAATAAGATGTCGCGCGGCCGCAATGATAATGGTACTGACTGATTATGGTTCTGATGAATATTAATAAGTAAATAGAACATTATTATCACTTATTATTGCCTAAAATATATCATTACTGTTCTTTACGTAGTTATATAGCTTTTTAAAAATTTTTTCATAGTTTTAGCATCCTTTTTTATTGAGTCATCATGAGATACACAGTTACAAAGCTGTTCATGATCAGCTTTCAGGCCTGTAATGTTCCAACACCCAGCACTGCACCAGTATGCATTTCTCACCACGAATACCCCCAGTTTCCCTCCCACCACCCCACCCCCATTTCCAGCCTGCCTATATGGCTGGCATTTTATTCTCTCTCTCTCTCTCTCTCTCTCTCTCTCTCTGGGCAGTATGGTTTGCAATACAGATAATGAGAAGTTATCATGTTTGTTTCTTTACTGACTTTCATCATGCAGTTCTTATCCAGAGTGGTCGTTTCCAAGTCTCATTGCCAGAGTGATCCCTTCCCTATCCCAAATTCCTTCTCCCCCAGAACCTGAGGCAGGCTTCCAATCATGGACCAATGCTCCTGGCTCGTGTTTCTACTGTCCTTGGATATTAGTTGCATACTATGTTTTTTGTGTTCCACAAATGGGTGCAATCATTCTAGTTATATAGCTGCTTGAATTCATGTACTGGAAACTATGACTACAGATTCAGTAAATTTTTGTAGGCTGTGAAAGCATATGTTCTATGAATGGAACAGAGATAATAAAAACAAGAAAATTCTACCACTTAGATGAACCTGGAGACCATTATGTCTAGTCAAATAAGTCAGCCACAGAAGGACACATATTTCATGATTTCACGTCTATGAGGTATTTAAAACTGTCAAGTGTGTAGAATTGAATACTATAACTGTGACTTCCAGGGACTGGAGTGGGGGTAGAAATGGACAGTTTCTGTTCAATGTAGGGAGAATTTCAACATGAGTACATTCTAGAACTTTGCTGCACACATTGTGCCTATTGCCAACAATTAAGCATTGTATACTTCAAAAATTAAGAGATAGATCCCATGTTTTGTTTTCTTTATTATAATAATAAATATATGTATCTACTTTTTGGTGGTGCCAGGGGGAAAATCATGCTATTATTATTGCAGTGCTAATGATCAATCTAATTATTTGCGGCTCTGTACCTGTGCTTTATCATTGAGTCACAGCTATAGTGCCCAAAATGCATGTTTTTTTTTCTTTTTGGGTCACACCCGGCATTGCACAGGGGTAACTCCTGGCTCATGCACTCAGCAATTACTTCTGGCAGTGCTTGGGATACCAGATGTGATGCTGAGAATTGAACCCGGGTTGGCCACATGCAAGGCAAAGACCCTACCCGCTGTGCTATTGCTCCAGCCCCACAAAATGCAGGTTTTAAGAGAAAATTGTGATATGTTAATATTGCACTTTCTAATTTAATCATATTTCAAAGGAAAACTTTGAGCCATTAGTAATCCAAAAGTAGTTACTTACGTAATTCACAATTCCTTCCTTCGAATCCTTCTAGACACCAACATACATAGGAATTCACATCATCCTTACACAGGCCGCCATTTTGACATGGACTGGATTCACACTGATCTCCATCTTTGAGGTAAATAAGAATTTGAATTGGCATATGAACTGCTTAGAATTCCCAGTCATCCCTACACAGATACATAGGAGGAAGAGGTTCTTGATTTTAGGGTCAGAGCAGATCTGCTGACCTGGAAAGGAGATATTTGTGGGATATCCCTGTCTTCTTGAGTTTCTTAAGAACCCAAAGATTTTTATAATACCACCTTGCAAAGTTTCCATGAGAATACATGTATATAGTTTATGTAGCACAAAGGGAGATGTAGTGGGGAGAAGGGCAGAAAATTATAGAAATCCACTATGTCAGCATAGGTGAGAAGGATATTCAATCCATTTTAATAGAATGATAGCAGAGGCCATGCTAAATTAACACGTAGCACCCTTTCAGTTGTCTGTCATACAAAGTTTGAATAATCTAGAATGTTGAGCTTGATAAAATATGGTTATTCCACTAAAAATATCTGGTAACAGGAAGGGATAAATTGCATCACCTCCCTTATATTATTATCTCATTTTTAAGTGTAGTGTGTAGTTCACCATGCTAGAAAAGGTGCCAGTAGCATTTGATAGAGCTTGAATATATCTACTCCCTGATAGTTGTGCCCCATCTGGTCTAAGTGAATTGAGAAACAACTAATAATTGAAAAATAAAAGGTTCTAAAATGTCTGTAATTTATGTGTAATTTACCTTTGTGTCCATTATATCTTTTCTGAAATTTATATACAAGTAGTGTTCTTGAGAGCTTTTAAAGACAAGTGGTGACCTAGCATGATCAAACAATAAGGACAAGGAAAACTCTCAGGGGGAGAAGGAACCCTTAAGTTTAGTTATAAAAACTCTGTGTCAATGTTGGCTTCTAAGGAATCATCAGGAGAAATAGTTGAGCAGAAGCAGAAGGGATATTTTGCACTAAGAAACAAAAAATAGGGCCTAGATCAGGAAGACATATGTTAAATGAATGAGTAAGAGATAATGATGAGTTAAGAATGAGTTGAAGAATGATAGAAATGGGGCAATCAAAGACAAACCTCTCCTGTATTTTAGGGTGAAGCTTTCTGAGACCTAGGGTATACATCTCTGTTTTCTATGGGAGAACAGTGTTGTGTTTTTCATAGTGTCACTAGCATATATTGAGGTCCCATTGACTAATGGACTCATGTCCCCATCTCAGAAATAGTTCCTCTTTGGAATATCTGCTTGCTGTAAAAAATTAGACCATGTCCCCTTTGACCTTTGATCCAATGTGCTTTTGCCCACATACTTCAACTTGTTCCCATTCTTTGAAAACAAAATGCATTATCTCTGGTTTATGATTATTGATGCTCAGAACTGGTCTAAAACGAGCTACATTTGCACTTTATATTATGGACCAACAGATCTGAATTATTTAGGATGTTTCACTGAATGGGTCTGGGCTTGAAGCCAGTTACACAGAAACTCATTTGCTGAGACATATCTTTAAAATGAGTGTCATTTTATCCTGCGTTTAGTCCTCCTCTGGGTGCTTGTCTGTATGTACTTTGGGCTGAGGCAAAACCACAGTCACTAAGGTCAAAGACAACAAGGGATGAGACCTGGCCAAATGAGAGATTCCAGGTTAAGGCCAATAGGTTGATGTTTAATGAATAACTGCATTTAGGTTTGAAGGCTGGTTGAGGTAATAATGAAAGCAAGGACTTTAGAGAACATGGGTTCTTCTGGACTCTGTGTCTCCCTAACTGGGTGACCTTTGACAGGTCATTTAATCTCCCTAAGCCCCAGTTTCCTCATCTTTAAAATGAGGTTAATAATGCTTTTCTCCTAGGGTCAGTGTGAGGGTTAAATGTGACAGGCACTCTGTAAACAGCCAAGTGCTTGACAGATGCTAGTTAATGTGGTGGGATGGGTCTTCAAGGGGTGTTGATAGTAGAGAGTAGTATAGGAGTAAGGGACTTGAATGGCCCTTATATGTGAACATACACAGACTTAATTTACCCAAGATATAATTTCCATCACTCCTCCCACCTCAGGGGGCCCAACCTCAAAATAACAGTATTAAAGAGGTTCTGACCAGCCACAGTTCAATGTTACTGAAAGTCAAGTTGGGGAATATGAAGTGATAATTGGACTTTAAAGACAGCAAGGAATATTTCTGGGAGAAAGAGGATAAGTGAACTTTCAGAGATAGAATTATATTTTAAGAGATGAAATGAATGTAGTATATATACCAGTAGATTTCAAACACTGGTCCATAGAGCAGTTCTGGTCCACCAGCATAAAAGGTTCAAAACCATTATTATAAAAACATGTTGTTTTTAATGATGCAGTCATGAAACTGATATATTATAGTGTGATGTTACTTCAAAATATTTTTACAAAACCACTTTAAAGACAAAATATAGAGCTGGGGTTGTGAGTCAGTGGTATTGCACATACCCCAACTATATAAGTCTCTCAGTTCCTGGCACACAACATGCCCATAAATAATATGATAGACGATTGAAAGTTTGAAATATAGCAAATAGAGTCAAAGGATTTGTGGGATTAATCATAGGGGAATGCTTCAGGAGAGACCTGGCATGGTATTGATCATTCATTGTTGAGAAGGAAAGGCAGATAAAGCATTATATCAGAGTGGCTCTTTTCTCTCATGACTTAAAGGCCAAAGCAGAAAAACTATGAGTTGAAAGAATTTAAACTATTCCAGTAGCGTGTCCAGTAGAGGTACTTGGAAAGAACTTGGAAATCAAACTGAATTGTAGATTGAGTGACAGAATTCACTGGCAAGTGAGTTTCTGTCTGATGAAGTTGGCTTTAAGCAAGTCAACCTGGGGAATTTACACTGCCTCAAAATCCAGAGGTGGGCTTTTAAATTAGTTTTGAAACTTAGTTCTTAAAGGTTTGAATTTTTCTCCTTTTGATTAACCCATTCAACACTTTTTCCTTACTAACTTTATACTAGATTTTTTTCAAATACTGAGTAATACATCAGTAAACAAGAAAACTGAATATCCCTGCCAACATGCAACTTATATTCAAGTGAGGTGGGAAAAAGAAAAATACATACAGTAATTAAGAATATTATGTTGCATGGTGTTTCACTAATAAAAAATAATAAAAATTAAAAAAAGAATATTATGTTAGAGTGGATGATGAGAACTGCTAAGGAAAAATAGAGTAGGTTACAGTGTTAGGATATGAGGGTGTTGGAAATTGCAATTTTGCTAGATGATCAAGATAACTTTCATGAGGATGGTGATATTTGAGTGAACATGTGAAAGAGGTGAGGGGAGGGAGACTAGGAGAACCTGGTGAAGAACATTGAACTTAAAGAACTGTCATGTCAAAGATATTAAGATGGGAGCATTCACACACAACAGGGTGACTGGCGGGTTGTGACCCAGAAGAGAGAGATCAGAGGGGCAATCTTGGCGGGCCTTTCTCATAAGAATGAAGGTTTGAAACAGCCAATGCTTAAATCTACTAGCATTTTATGATTCTCTTTTGAGCATGACAGACTCTCATTCAATCTCTAGATACAATGATTTCTTTTACTTCTTTCCAGCTTTCTGGGGTAGAAGAATGTTCATTTTGAAAGCCTAGGGGAAAGTAAGCTTCTGGTACAAATCTGTGGTCTGCCACAATTCTACTTGAGTCAATGAGTTGCACTTGCTTTTCTTAGTCCTATTGAAGCAGCTTAATCTATTTTCTATTTACATATAAGCAATTAATACATTATTCTCAAGTGCCTCACAGAGCAGCTAGATGATGAAATGAACTGCTTACCCACATATTGCTTCCAAAATTCAGTCTATAAGGGGGGAAAAAGAACATGTTAATAGTGGTATTTAAAATGTTTTGACTTTGATTTCTTCTTTTTAATGACAATTATAATGCATGATTATATGTTCGCAAAGTTTAAAACTATAAAAATGAAGAGTTTTCTTTCATCTTTTAAGGCATTCTGTTCTTTCCTTATCATCTGAAGGATTTTATGTGGAAATACTCACAGTTTTTTCAGTGTTTTCAAAAAATTCCCGTGCCTCTTCAAAACTACACCTTTCTTCCAGACATTCTCTCTCAAGGTTACCTTGAACGAATTCTTCCAGTTTACCTGAATTGTATCTCTTTGACCGTTTCAGAATTTTGGTGGCATTTTCATGATCAAGAAAAACTGAAATTTAAGAGAACAACTTTAGTTTTATTTTTTTCTTTGCTTTTTGGGTTACACCCGGCGATGCACAGGGGTTAACTCCTGCCTCTGCACTCAGGAATTACTGCTGGCGGTGCTTGAGGGACCACAGGGGGTTGCTGGGAATTGATCCTGGGTCGTCCACGTGCAAGGCAAACGTTCACGTGCAAGGCAAATGCCCTACCCGCTGTGCTATAGCTCCAGCCCCCAACAATTTTAGTTTTAGAAGAATGAAAATATTACAAAATTTAAGTGTGCCTTTTAAGAAAATCTTTGTTTTTCCAGGCTATAGAGAAATTGGAATCTTTAAACCTCACTGATAGGAATATAAAGACACAACAACTGTGGAAAACAATTTGATACTTATCAAAACGCTGAACAGAAAATTAATCAGCGATTTCACTCCTAGGTATCTACGTAAGAGAACCGAAAATAGCATCAAATGATAGATTATGTATGAAAGCTTATATTAACATTATTCATAATAAACTAAACAGTGGAAAGCATCCAAATGTTCACCTGATGAATCTTTAATCAAATGATACAAAGGGATATTATTTAGCCAAAAGAAGAAAAAAATGTAGTTGAGAGCTACAACATATATTTATTTTGAAAAATTTTACCTAGAAAAATTCAGATGCAAAAGCCAAAGTACAGTATAATTTCACTTATATGAAATACCTAGAATCTAAGAGACAAAAAGTAAATCAAGTGTTGTTAGGCATGGGGGAGAGAATAGATAGGGAGTGACAGAAACAGGTAGCAAGTTTCTTTTTGGAGTGATAATGATAGTGTTTTGGTATTAGTAAGTGGTATTACTTGTACACGCTAGGGAATATACTAAACATTTATCCGTTTTTACATTGTACAGTAGTAAATTATAGCTCAGTAAAAAGTTTTTAAAAAGCAAGGAAAAGAAAAGTTTTGTTTTTAATACAACCGATCCCAAAGCCAATTTATCTTTGGGGCATGGAGCCAAAGTCTATGCTCTTCTCATGCTCCTGTATACATATGAAGCTTGAGCGATTAAAATTCAGTTTTGATTTTAGTCAAGAGAGCACCAGTAATAAAAGATTATAGTTTCAATTTTTGTTTTGCTTTTTGGGCCACACCTGGCAATGCACAGGGGTTATTCCTGGCTCTACACTCAGGAATTACTCCTGGCGATGCTCAGGGGACCATATGGGATCTAGGAATCAAACCCGGGTTGTCTGAGTGCAAGGCAAATGCCCTACCCGCTATGCTATCGCTCCAGACCCCCATAGTTTCAATTCTATTGGAATTTATTTTCATGAAAAATAAAGTTCTCAAATAGGCAGTCCAGATGATATTTTGTCATGATCTGAACAATGCTAAGTATGGATCCTTGCAAGGTGGTTCATTGCTTGGGCTGAGCTCTGTGCTCAGAGTGCAGTGGCCTAAATGACTTAGCAACAAATTTCTCTTGGAAGTACAGAAGTCTATTTGTGGTCCAGCTGCAATGCAACTTCAGTGTCTCTCACTAAATGTTAAAGAAAAAAGTGCTACATTAAATCATTCATCTTCAGATTCACGCACCTTCACTTGCCATGTCTTAAAGGAATTCCAGTGATGTAAATCTTTCTCTGGGACTCAGGATGTGATTTATTTTAGCTTGAATTGCCTAATTTAAGGGGACACTCTTGAACTCTGGAGGACCGAGATCTCTAACCTAATTTTCTGCCACGCTCCCTCTCCACACTCAAATCTTAATCCCCCTTCCTCTCTTTTTACCCTTCTCTTTTTTCCTTCATTTTCTCTCTCCTCTTCCTTTCTCTCATTAAGATAGCTATAAAGTGAAAACCTATATATAAATTTTGATAGCAACATTATTCATAATAGCCAAAAGGAGAAAACAACTCAAATGTTCGGCAAATTATAAATGGGTAATCAAAATGTGGAATAGCCATACAGAGGGCTGTTGTTTAATTGCAAAAGAAGTAAAATACTGATGTAGTATTATTTCCGAGACACAGAGAGAGAATGAGTACCTACTCCTATATTTTAGTAATAGGAACTCAAGAAGTTGCCTGGAGGGGCTGGAGCAATAGCACAGCGAGTAGGGCATTTGCCTTGCACGCAGCTCACCCAGGTGTGATTCCCAGCATCCCATATGGTCCCCTGAGCACTTCCAGGAGGAATTCCTGACGGCAGAGCCAGAAGTAACCCCCATGCATCACCCGGTGTGACCCCCCAAAAAATGTTGCGTGGAGTTATTTCTTTCTTTGAGATGATCTGACACTTTCTCAGTGAGACTGGGTCCTTGTAAGATGAACCATGGTATTTGGGGACTGCTTTCTCATTAACTTCAAGGGGAAGAGCAGAAAGGCCGAGGGAGTATACCATATCCACTTATTTTCATGGCATCAATTCCTTTTGTCGAACTTTCTAGTTTCTTGGAAACCCTGCTTTTCTGCTGCTCTGTAAGTCCCCTTGGGCTTCACTTTGTTGCTGAATTTAGCTCAGAATATATTTTTCAGCTCTTGGTTTGCTATCTCTTTCAATCTGCTCCATCCCTTCTTTAGTGCTAACATAGCCTGCCACCCCTATTGCTAGTCCATCTTGGTAATCTACCTTCTTTCTTTCCCTCAGGAAACAGGAAGCTGAACACTATTTGGGAAGATCACTCTGTGCATTTCCCAGCCCTCCGCTCTGCTCCCCAATTTGTCAGGTTGGCCCAGGGTATTCCTATGACAGAATCTGTGTCTGCATCCACTAACAGTGTGGTCAAATGGAAGACAGGGGTTTGGAGTTAGATCAAATACACTTGGACTGAATCATGACTCTGTCATCTGTTGACTATGTCACCTTAGGCATGTCACATACATAATCCCTGAGGCTTAATTATGTGAAATGGTATAACAGTAGAATGCTAATAATATCTGCCTCTTGGTGGTGTTGACAGCATCAGAGAGCTAAGAATGTAGGCCGATGTATGTGGTTCTTTCATTCTTTCTTTAATTCTCTGTGTAGGACCTCATTCCTTTCTAATTTTCCATTGCCTGTAGGATCTTTAATGTACTTTTCTTAAGCTCTTCTCTTTTTTAAGGACAGAGCAACCATCCCTATATTGAAATGACTGGTCAGGAGGAACAGTGATTTCCTAAAACTTAGCATTTTTAAACACTTTTATTTAATTATTTTTCTGTATTGAATCCCAGTCAGAAACAGTTACAAAATTGTTCATAAATGGGTTTCAGTTCCAACACCCATAATGTTCCAACACCCATGCCCTAAAGGAAAGAGAGAGAAGGAGAGCGGGAGGGAGGGAAAGAGAGAGAGAGAGAGAGAGAGAGAGAGAGAGAGAGAGAGAGAGAGAGAGAGAGCGTCCGAGTCCTTAGCTTTTTAAATTGTGAATTTTGGGGGTATGGTGCCGCCAGCAGGTCAATTTGTACCTGTGAGGCGAGTGCATCAGCAGCCTGATTGGCCAGACCCCAAAAACTTGGGGCAAAGTTTACCAAGAAAGTAAACTGCCAAAAGTTATGTATGTGGGAGACATACCCACAAACCACCTCTGGCTCAGCTATATAATTGGAGGCATGGCCTCTCTGGTTCCTGAATGAACTGCCTAACGGCCATGATCCCAGAGACTCAAAAACAAATCTCGAAACCCAATGACTTTTGGCAGAAATGCATCCGGTACCTTCAGTAGGTTACTGTCACCGGGCCAACCCAGGTGGGAATAGGTTCCATGCCTTGGCCTGTTCCCCCTGGCGGCCCAGTGGCCATCATCCTCCAGAGACCACTGGACAGTCAGGTTTGGGCCCACAGTGACGAGACATGTGGGGCCTCATGGGACTGGGTGGAGCTGGCCCTTTCCTCCCCATCCCAATAAGACCCCGAGTAGCCACCCATGAATGGCCTCTCTGGCTCCTGATCAAGCCATTTAATGGCCATGATCCCTGAGACTCAGAAACAAATCTCAAAAACCCTGCAGCTTTTGGCAGAAATGCGTCTGGACCACGCAGTAGGTTACTGTCGCTGGGTCACCCCAGGGGGGAAAGGGTGCTGTCCCTCTGCCTGATCCCCCTAGGCAGCTCAGTGGCTGCCATCTTCAAGAGGCCATTGGACAGTCAGGTTTGGGCCCGCAGTGATGAGACACGCGGGCCCTCATGGGATGGGGGTGGAGCCGGCCCTTTCCTCCCCACCCCAATGAGATCCCAAGTCACCACCAACAAACGGCCTCTCTGGCTCCTGATCGAGCCGCTTAATGGCCATGATCCCAGAGACTCAGAAACGAATCTCGGAACCTAATGGCTTTTGGAAGAAATGCGTCCTGTTCCTGCAGTATGTTACTGGTGCTGGGCCAATCCAGGTGGGAATAGGTTTCATGCCTTGGCCTGTTCCCCCTGGTGGCCCAGTGTCTGCCATCCTCTAGAGAACACTGGGCAGTCAGGTTTGGGCCCACAGTGACAAGACACGCAGGGCCTCATGAAATGAGGATGGAGCTGGCCCTTTTCTTCCAGTCCCAAGGAGACTCTGAGTCGTCGCCCATGAATGGCCTCTCTGGTTCCTGATCAAGCCGTTTAATGTCCATGATCCCAGAGACTCAGAAATAAATCTCTAAACCCAGCGGCTTTTGGCAGAAATGCGTCCAGACCCCACAGTAGGTTACTGTCACCGGGCCACCCTGGGGAGAAAAGGTACTGTCCTTCCACCTGCTCCCCATTGGCGGCTGGGTTGCTGCCATCCTCCAGAGGCTACTGGACAATCAGGTTTGGGCCCGCAGTGATGAGACACGTGGGCCCTCATGGGATGGGGGTGGAGCCGGCCCTTTCCTCCCCATCCCAACGAGACCTCGAGTCACCACCCATGAACAGCCTTTCTGGCTCCTTATCAAGCTGCTTAACAGCCATGAACCCAGAAACTCAGAAACAAATCTCAGAACCCAGCAGGTTTTGGCAGAAATCCCTTCAGATTTAAGGATTAAAATTTCAAAATTTCAAATTGCGCAGCCACTACTGCAGCCACCTGACATCATGTTATGATGGACAGGTTTTCTCTAAACCTCTTTCCCTTCTACTTCTAGAGGATTACCAAGTTAGATAATTTCTAATAAGCGTCATCTGAAATCCTCTTTTTTTGTACAGTTTAATTCTAGGTTCAGGGTCTCATGTCTTTGCTGAATGATTACAATGAGATCTAGACTGGTTTCTTCTAGTCTTCTCCCCCTTTCTCAAACAGTTTACTAGAATGTTCCCATATGGCACATCCTAATTCATATATTGTTATACTGCAATTCATGTATGGTTCACTGTCACTGTCACTGTCCTCCTATTGTTCATCAATTTGCTCGAGTGGACCCAGTAACATTGTGAGACTTGTTACTGTGTGCATATCGAATACGTCACAGGTAGCTTGCCAGGCTTTGCCGTGCGTGCGAGATACTATTGGTAACTTGACAGGCTCTCTGAGAGGGGCAGAGGATTCAAACTCAGGTTGGCCACATTGGCTTCATGCAAGGCAAACGCCCTACCTGCTGTGCTATCGCTCCAGCCCTATAATATACTCCATATTACCTTCTTTTGACAAAATTCCTTAGTTGAGGAAGTCCATTGTTTGTTGACACATTCTGCTAGCTATACTGACTCACTTGTCATATTCAGTATTCAAAATCTCTTGAGTTCCTGAAATACTGCATGTGTTCTGTGGATTTGGATCTTGGTACTTGAGTCAACTTCCCTGCATCAAATGTCCTAAGGCAAACATTTAAAAAGAGTCCACCTTTGCTTTCATCTGGGGAATATAGAGTAACAAATTCGGAGACTAACACCCAAAAATAGCTGACATAAGTACCAGGAGGTTCACTCCATGGCTTGGAGGCCAGCAGCACATGCTGAGGGAGAAGGAAGCTCAGATAGAGATGGGAGCACCAAATAAAGGTTGTTGGGATGACCATCGCAGGATGAGAGATGCATGCTGAAAATAGACTATAGACTGAACATGATAACCACTCAATGCCTCTTTTGCAAACCACAGCATACAAAAGGAGAGAGAAAACAAAAGGGAATGCCCTGCCACAGGGGTGGGGTGGGATGGTGGGGGTGGGGGGACTGGGAGGGATGCTGGGAGCATTGGAGGTGGGGAATGGGCACTGGTGGAGTGATGGATACTCAATCATTGTATAACTGAAACCCAAGCACTAAAATTTGTAAGGTCAACGACTGTACCACATGGAGTTTCACTAATAAAAAAATTCAAAAAACACTGTTACATATTGCCTAATGATTATTATACCTGCTTTTCAAATAAGGAAAGCAATAGTCATAAAAAAATAAAAAGACTGAACCTACTCATCTTTCAAAACCCAGCTCCAAATATTGTCTGCTATACATTTTCCATAAAGTGTTTCTCTATGCTTCTTTACTACCCAGTTTTACCATATTATATCAAAATCTCTCACGTGACTTAACGGTGCTTTAAGTCAAAGAGGGACTCTGGGTTATCTCCTACTTTCTTAACACAGTATCTGTAACCAGAGTAGTCGTTCAGTTTTGTAAAATTTTGTAGCATGTTTGACCAAAGCCTTCCTCTATTATATTCATTTTGTTTGTTTTCTGAATGGGAAAAGCAGCTTTGGTTCATAACCTTCCCCAGACTGAATTGGTTTTACAGCACAGTTTGGCTTTCAAAACTCCAACTTGATGCAATACTACCTAAGGGCACAGCCAGGAAAAAATGCACCATGTCAGTAAATCACTCATCGCAACTGTTTTCAGAGGCCAGTGACAGTTTAACCACAGAAGAGAGTGCTGTTATCAATACTGTCATCCATAGGAATGTTCCCTAGGTCCTCCTCAAGGGTCTGTTATGTCTACAATGGCTCCAGTAATCACACCAGCCTTTCTCCTCAGTATTGTCTTCCTATCAGACATTTAACCTCTCTCCAGATTGATCTCTTCTCACCATTGCTTCCCCGGTTCCCAAATCCTAGTTACTCTCTTATCCCCGCATCTCTCCCTTTCCCCATCAGCTTGGATTTTCAAGGGGGCAGAGCCCTCTTCAACTCCTCATCAATTCACCACTCATCTTGAAGAAAGAGCTAGGATCCTTTGTCCTCTGAGATCTCACACTGATGAGCTCTGTGGGAAGATTTAGCTTTATGTCCGACTTGGTGAGTTTTTTTAGCAACAGTTCGTTATTCCTTGACTATCCTCACTTGGATAGTCTGATTTAACCTTTGCTTTTTCTTATCATGATTTCTGCATTTCAGTCTGACATCATGTCTGGAGTGGAAACCACAGGCCCAGTCTACTTTCTGGGGACACTTTAGGTTGGCACCCCTGATCCTTGCATTGTAAAGCTTCTAGATTTGATTATAGTAGGCTGACAAGTCAGTGTGATAAATGCTTCCTGTGAGAACATGCTATTTGTCTAAATGTAATCATTTCTTCCCTGTGTGCCTTCCTTCGTGGAGTGCATAAAGTCACTGAAGTTGTGGAAAAACAGAATATACATTGCATCGAGTTCCAAATTTTGTGTCAGTTATTTGATTTGCACCCTTAAAGAGTGCAACGAGTATTAAATTTCCCATGTATTAACTCCCAAGATGTTTATAATTAGACATGAAATAAACACTACCTAATTTGTGGAGAACTTCTGGAATAAATAACTTAATAAAAAGTTTAATGTCTATATTTTTACAGAAACTTTAAATTTAACTTCTATCATTTTATAGATTTTTTAAAATTAGAAGCACACATCACATTATTTTAAAACTTGAAATACAAAATATGTCTTAAAATTAAATTCTGCAGTGGTTTAAACATTACATTGTGGCTTTAATATTTTCCTTTTGGCTTTCAATATTAATGAAACAGAATGACATTGGTTATATTTCTCTTTATTCTGCTATTTCCTTGTTAAACTATTTCTACCTTTTTAAAACCAGGGACATGGTTATTTTCTAAGAGAAATTATATTGTCAAATCACATTCCCAGAAGTTTCCATTAAAAATGTGCCATAAACATTGCATCAATTTAATTTTAATAATGAAGAAGAAATATCTCCCAGAGAACCAGTACTTACCAACATATGTGCCTTCTATTAGAATGATCAAACCATTGCTATCAAATCGTGTGGTCATTATTTAGTGAAGAAAACAAGACCAGACATTTCTGTATCTTAAAGGCAAGCACATTCAGTAAATCTTTAAAAAGGAAACAAACCTGTACATTCAGCACTGAGTAGATATCCTAAAAGACAAATGGTGAAGAGGCCCAGCGATTCTGCCATGATGATGTTCAGGCACTGCATAACCTTTGCCGGTGTATTGTGCAAGTAACTAGATTGGCCAATTGTTCCAAAGTACAAGCTGAGTTCTATTTACTTCTGGGAAACAATGTTCATCACCCACAGTGAGTCTTTGAGCTATTTCCAATGGCCTTTTAGGTTAAGTAGAGAGAATGCGCTGTCATTAAAACTGATATATGATTCCATGGGTTTCTGCCACCATGGCTGATTTGAGGCAAAAGAGTTACATCTTATTAGACTATGGGTGATATAAACGGTGTTAAGTAACTTACCTTAAAACAAATCCAGTGCTTGTTTACATTGAATCACCTGGTGATTACCCTTTATTATCCTTGATAATGAAGCATTGATAAAACGTCTTGTATTACTGCTTATCTTATTTTTTTACATCTTTCTTGTTATGTGTTGTCCCCGTCCTCTTTTCCTCAGGTGACTTTAGTTATACTATCAATGCCTACTGATTTGTCTTGTATTTTGTTATTGTCTTATCAAATTCTATATGCTTCTATTGCAGACAAAAGTGAAAGACATCTATCACTTGTCTTTTTCTTCTGACTTATTTTGCGGCACATAACTACCCTGAACTTCTGTTTTACTATACTTTCTTGGTTGCCAAGTAGCATTCTTTGAATAAATATATCACATCTTCTTTATCCAAACATCTGGTGATGATTTTGTTGATTGCATCCATATTTTAGTTATTGTAGATAATGAAACTTTGTTGTGTTATATGGTGATATATGTGAACCCTGTGTCACACTACATGTATGTGCTTGTGAGTTCATATGTATGCATATATATTTTCATATCATGTGTACAAACATATGTAAATGATATTACAATAGTTTGTAAATTAATTTCTATATTACCTCTTCACATATACTATTAAAAACTCATTAGTATACCAATATTTACCTACCATTGTGTTACTTTTATAATGTAATTTATTTCCACATGTTATAAACTCTGTATTACATTACTATTTTGCTTTAAGCTGTGGACAATATTTTTTTCTAGGAACTTGAAAATCTGAGGTATAATTGATATATTATACCATATAAGTTTTATGTATATACTGTGATTTAATAGTTTTTTTATGTTTTTGTTTTTGAGCCTCAAACATTTAAGATATATACTCCATCACTTAGTCACATTCCCAGCTCTCGTTGTCTATTATATTGTTCAGGATTGTTACATGTGATTTAATCAATGGTATTGAGATTTTTATTACATGGCAACAATAGCTCTCTAAATTTATTAGGCAATGCTTTCTCATTGTATATTTTCTGCAATAGTTTATCTAAAGATGACATTATATCCTTAAATTCAATCCATTCAGAGTTTTAGGATTTTCAGATTATCTGTGTCATCTTATTTGGGCTTGGATAGTTTTATATTTTAGAGGAGTTTTTCTACTTTTTCTAGGTTGTTGAATTTATGAGCATAAAGCTGTTTGTAGTATTTCCTTATTATATGTAATAGCTTCAGGGTCTGTAGTAATGGCCTCTATTTCATTTTTGATATTGGTTAAGATTTTTCTTTATTTTCTGACCATGCGGTTTATCAATTTTACTAGATTTTCTAAAAAACTACTTTTTTATTTCATTAATTATCTCTATTGTTTTGCTAATATTTCATTGGCTCAGCTATGCATTTTTCCTCTGTCTGCTTGCTTTGGGTTTATTTTTCCTTTCTTGTTCTAGTTTCTTTTTTTCTTTCTTTTTTTTTGCTTTTGGATCACACCTGGTAATGCACAGGGGTTACTTCTGGCTCTGCACTCAAGAATTACTCCTGGTGGTGCTTGGGGGACCATATGGGATGCTGGGAATCGAACCCAGGTTGGCTGTGTGCAAGGCAAAAGCCCTACCTGCTGTGCTATTGCTCCAGCCCCTTGTTATAGTTTCTTAGAATAAGAACATAGATTATTGACTTGAAATCTTTTCTTAAGAAACTCTAATTAATACTGATATAAGTTTCTTTCTTGGTACTTCATTAGTTGTATCCCACAAAATTTACATTGTATTTTAATTTTAATTCTTATTCAGTTGGATAGGTTGATTTCCATTGAGATTACTCTTTGAATATGACTTAAGTGATCATTTCTTAATTTTCCTATGGCTGTATATTTACTGCTATCTTCTTGTTACTGATTTCTAGAATTTTTATCGACAGAACCTACTTGGATTTTAATTCAAGTGTGCTGAGGTTTGTTTATGGTCAAGAATATGGTGCATATTTTTTATTGTGTCATGACTTTGAAAAATTTGTCATTGGGTAGATTGTTCTATATGTGTCAGATCTTGCTGGTTGACTGTCTTGTTCAGATCTTTTCTTTTGCTCTCCAATAGTTCTATTAGTTGCTGAAAGAGGGATGCTGAAATCAACTATTTGAATTTGCCTGTTCTCCTTTCATCTCTATCAATTTCTGCTTCATGTTATGGCAGAAATGAGAATGTTTGAATCTTCATAAATTTGATAATTTAGCTAAAGCTAGGAAAATTTCAGCTGTTATGTCTATTATATAATTTCATTATTATATGTCTATTTTTTTCTCCTCTCTAACTGGGCTAAAGATGACATCAATGTTGTATCTGTTTACTGTCCCATGAGTATCTTTTTATATACATTAGCCTACATTTTCTCTTCTTTGGGAATTAGGAATAAGTGGTTCACAGGGCTTATTCCTGGCTCTCTAATCAGGGATCACTCCTGATGGGGCTCGGGAGATCATATGTGGTATCAGGGATCAAACTTGGGTCAACTTCATGCTAGCAAGTACCTTACCAACTCCATTGTCTATTAAGCCCAACATTTTCTCTCTTATCAAAATAATGGTATGAATTCACTTTTTATTTCTATTAAACTGTCTTAAATTTCACTAGTTGTGTCCTGTGCCACACCAGTCTGTCATTGAGCCAGGTTTTATTTTAATACATATATATATATATATATATATATATATATATAGTGGGCTGGAGCGATAGCACAGCGGTAGGGCATTTGCCTTGTACGCAGCCGGCCTGGCCAAGCCAGGTTCAATTCCTCTGACCCTCTCGGAGAGCCCGGCAAGCTACCTAGAATATCTCACCCGTACGGCAAAGCCTGGAAAGCTACCCATGATGTATTTTATATGCCAAACATAGTAACAACAAGTCTCACAATGGAGACGTTACTGGGCCCGCTTGAGCAAATCGAAGAACAATGGGAGGACAGTGACAGTGACAGTGATTTATTTTTGTTGAAACACCATGAGGTATTCTCTATGGAAATCAACCTATCCAACTGAATAAGAATTAAAAATTAATTCCTCTCCCCTCCCCTCCCCTCCTCTACTCTTCTCTCCTCTCCTCTCCTGTGACTTTTCTATATCTTAGTTTATACAGTGATTTTGCTAGACATTTTGTCTGTTATGTCAGTAGAGTCTGGGTTCTTATTTAGTGAATGCCCACCTTGTTAGGCATAGCACACAGGTCCTGACATTTTCCTGGGATTTTATTTCAATTTTAATTTAATCCTCAGATCTTTTGTGGTGCTATTTTACAAACTACAGTTCCAAGTAAGTTGATAGTATGGGTATTATTTGGGTAAGCCCGATCCATACTGTTAAATCCTTTAAAAGCACAGTTTAATTCATTTGATAGCAAAAATAAAAGTCAGATTCAAAGCATATAACAAATATGGTGAAACATCAGTATCTTCATATGTAACCCCATTTAAGAGAACTCAAATGGTCTTTCAGAGCTAAGAGCCATCTTTAGCTGGCAGGTACCAAGAAATTATGGATCGCAGTACAAATACTATGATTTATAAACTTAAAAATTAATAAATATCTTTGATCACTCAGATGACCAAAGTATATTTCTTATATACAATCATGTCCTAATCTGTAGTTCCTTTCATATCCTTTTTCTTTCTTTGGCATACCTGGTGATGCTCAAGAGCTATTTCTGGCACAGAGACCAGGCATCTGTCATGCAAATTATGCACACTAGCCCTTTGAACTATCTCTATAACTTCTTCATATGACTTTCTTGTGACTCCCAGAATTTGGAATTTCTTGCATCATTAGATCAATAAAAGCATCCTTTAATTCTCAAAACTAAAATATTTTGAATTTCTTGGGTGCGAGCAATGGGAGAGTCTTCTGTCATCATACTTCATTTTGTTCACACTTTCTAATCTCAGAAATGCAGCAAATAATCTGTTTATGACAGGCAACTGAATTATGCAATCGGGGTCATGAGAATGAACCTCAATTATGTAGCCTGTTGTTGAAAAGCATAGGTAACTTTCTGGGAGTTGTTTGGAGCTTGTTGGTTGGGATATGAAATTAGGACAGTTTGGAAGACCAAGGTCTTAACCTGTGAAATCTGACATTATCTCTGGGTTATATAGCATTCTTACAACCCTGCTGGTATCTGAAAATTGCCTGTTGGTTTAGGGAAATTTAAGCTACCCTCCTTCATTAGAAATTGGTCTCAGGATAAACCAACAGTGCAGCAATCCTGTCGCTAAATGGAGTTTAATTATCACGACCTTAATGAATCTGAAAGTGGATTATTTCCCAGGGCTTTCAGATAGGAACCTTGACTTTGGCCTTGTGAGACTCTTAAGCTGAGATCTCACTTGAGGTTGCTTGTACTTCTGTTTACAGAACTGTGATATAGTGAAAGGAATATTGTTTTAAGGCACTAAGTTTGTGACAATTTGTTATGTGACAATAGAAAACTAACACCCCGTCGTAAGCATGTTGTTTGTGCTAAACATCTTTTTTTCCCTGAAGTTTTTCTTGAACTGTTGCTACCTCTGGGAGGGTAAATATACCATGTTGTGAACATTTTATATACAGATTTTCAACTTTGTATTTTATCTTTTGGTAAATGAT